AGAGATTTGCGGACAATGAAGAAGTAATCGAAGCTGTAAATGGTTATTTTGAGGAGCTTGACGAATCAGTCTATAGAGATGGCATTAATAGACTGGAACACCGCTATGAGAAATGTATCAGCCTTGGAGGAGATTATGTTGAGAAATAAAAAAAAAAAATTTTTAAAAACCTTGTTTTTCTTGGTCAGGCCGGAAACTTATCAATCCACCCTCGTATATAATAAGTATGTATGCAAACGAATTCAGAATTCGATGATCTGGCATTTTAAAAGTTTATTATCAGCAAATTGATTGATTTTGTATTACACTTTTAGTGACAATTTATTAAAAAAAAAAAATGTAGAACGCATTGTTTTGATTGTTAAAAAAAAAGGCTTCATCCTTCATCCTATTTATCAGGTACGCAAAAATCCCACATTGAGCAATAAAGAAAAACCAAACAAAATTTCTAATACAGTTACTGAAGTACACGAGAGTTTTGTATGTTCTCAAGGAATAATTAAAATTAATAATAACTATTACTAGGATATACACATGGTTGGATAAAAAGTCATTTATTATTTGTGAAACAGTTCAAATACGTTTTAAACATGTGTTTGTATGTTTTAAACAACTTTTTCACTTTTATTTTGAACACTTTTTAACTTGTTCTATACAAGTTCTTTTTATCGTGGCATCTTATAGTTGTTTTTAACAGTGTTAATTTGAACACTGTTTTAAGAATTTCAACCCTGTGAGATGTTGTTTTTTTTTATTTCGACAGTGTTTGAAATACGTATTTTAAGTATTGTTTGAAACATTCCAACCCTGTGGGATGTTTTACTCTAGCTGAAGGGATTTAAAGATTGTAATGTTTTTTTTTCTGTTTTAAAGTTTAAAACACTTTAAGACATGTTTCATTTAGATTGCGTTTTAAACAGTGGAGATATAGATATATATAACAAATATTTGTTTAAAAAGAGATTTCCCTTGACTTTTTGGGGCCAAAAAATTTGACAGCGTTAACTGGAACAGTTTCATAGTTCATATGAATTGACATAGAAGTTTATTAGAGTTTCATGTGATGTTTAATGAGGTAAATGGTGTGCTTGTTAGCTGCCTGCTTACCTTCTGACAGTTAATGCAAAATTCACCTCAGTCGCCATGTCGGCTCCATTTTGTACGTTAAAAATATATTAGTGCTAATGTCGACTGCCAATCAAAGCGTTTCTTCTATTAAAAATTAGTTGGAGCTTTGGAAGCACAACAGTGTTATTGCATTTCGCTATTTTGCATTCACATCCTCGGCTAAGTATATCCGCATGCCATGCGTAGGTAAATTTAGCAATTCGATTAGCCCCAAAGTTACCTAATTTGCATATATACGTATAACCAATATACGAATTTGTCGAAAATATGAAAATAATTTAATTAATTTAAGTGACACTTTGAAATACGACTTTTCTAAAAATAATGAGAGACATACAGCTAGTACGTCCAATAGCAATTTAAAAGAAAACACCTCATCTAGGTAATTTTATTATATCTTTATATCTTTAATAAAATTTGAAATTAATTAGAGAAATACTATAATAGCACACGCTACTTATCCTTACTGATGAAATTCATCAGGGTTGCAACTCTTCTTCTAATGAGCAAAGAAAACATTTTCCATTAACCATTACTTCTGTAATTGATATTGTAAAAAACTTGTACTTATTAACCGTTACTTTTATAATGAGTAATCCAAAATATTTCATGTAAATTTTTTGTAATAAGTAATGGAAATATTTTTCACTAACCGTTACTTCTGTAATTGATATTGTAAAAAACTTATATTAACCGTTATTATTTTTGAAATGGTTAATTTAAATTTTTTATAACGAGTTTTGTAAAATATTTACATAAACCAGAACTTTTGTAATGCAAAATGGNTAAAATTTCAATGTTTTTTATTTAATATCTCGAAGTAAAAATTTAGTCATTACTTGACAAAAAAAGGCAGGAAAGGGGCCGTAATTTTAATTAATAGGGACGGCAGGATATCTGCTAACAATATGGCTCCCGTGGACATATAGTTACATTCGCGCTCGTTGTCCGTTGAATTATTCGATGGCTGAAACAAAATTAATTAAAATTGAAATCATGATATGTTTTTTATTTAATATCTCGAAGTAAAAATTTAGTCATTACTTGACAAAAAAAGGCAGGAAAGGGGCCGTAATTTTAATTAATAGGGACGGCAGGATATCTGCTAACAATATGGCTCCCGTGGACATATAGTTACATTCGCGCTCGGGGTTGTCCGTTGAATTATTCGATGGCTGAAACAAAATTAATTAAAATTGAAATCATGATTACACTTTTATTAAATATAGGGCAAGAATTTTACGTTAGAAAATAGTTATTTATTATTTTTTTTGGAAACAGAAACTATTGAACTTTTAAATAGTCGCACATAATGATTTCGAGTTCTTTAAAAGGTCCTTCAACGTTGATAAAATTATATGAACTATCAGACTACTTGGAAGTCTTTACTTAAAGTGCTTTAGCCTTAATTGTTCATGAAAGGGTTTAATTAAATTTAAATTTACACTATTAAAAGTCTTAACACTTATTCTTATTTTAATAATTAAATCGTAAATTGTTTGTTACCTCTTCTGATTCCTCACTGAGTATATCATTAGCAGCAGTAAGCATGACAACATAGCCATAATTGTTGCAAAGTCCTAACAGCCAGTATGCTACTAATGGTCTCCAAGTAGTTTTAAACTCCGAATTTTTGAATATACTAAATGTTCCTTTCTTGGAAATTTGCGACGATGGCCCTTCGGTTGGCGATGCTTGATGCCTTTGTTGTAATTCGTAATTTTCATTATTCATACTATAATTAATTTTATTCACGAAACTTCTATTAACAGTTATAACAGTCGACTTATTTAGTTAGAGTGTGTGGTAATTGTTTTCGCCAAATTAAGTTTCTTAATCTAGATCAAAGAAATGTTGTCGATTTATTACACTATGTTACTCTAAATCATTGTCGTCATCAGATTAATGATAAAAACAGATAGAACGCCAATAAGTTTCAATCAAAGTGATTAGGTACCGCTTCAATAACATTTTACCGATGCAAAAACGATAAAATATCTGTTACTTTCTTATGTGGTCCATTTAAAAAAATGTTTTTTTTTTTTTAATTTTAAATTTCGTTCTTAAAATTATAAACTAAATTTTATGTAGGTAGTTTTTGAACGGTTTTGCTTATCACCTATTGCTTTTTATTATATATAATAGGTAACTATAAAATAAATGCTAATACTTATCGGTATTGCCTATCTTATATGTTTGTACTATTTACAATAATTCAAATACAGATATATGTTCTGATACGTTACGTTGTTATCATACAATACTCTATTAAACTACTCTACTGTTATCTGTCATTATAAAAGTATTTTTTATATAATTTAATAAGTTGCAAAGTCAACGATAGTAATATTAAAGATTTCGTTTCTTTTTTTTTAGTTTTATTACAGTTAAAATAGTCCAAATTACGTATTAATGGATATAATTAAATTGTATACTGTACCTATTGTAATAAATGAAACGTATATTTATTATTTATTAGCACACGATCATACACTAAATAGATTTGCACAACACAAAATATAATACAATATCAGATACACTTCCAACTTTCAAGGTGTTTATTTGAAGGATTTTGACCAGCTTTATTTAACGTGTTTCGTTCCAATAAATTTAAATTAGTTACGAAACACTTTTATTACAAATTTTGAATGTTGCACTCATGTTTAAACTACTGACGATTACTTGTTGTTGCTGATATTAAGTTTAACTTACTTACTTTCTGTTAACTTAACTGTCCTTTTGTATATAAGTAAATTACCTACCTTATGCACTTATCTAATTGAACACCTATGTAATAGTGTTGTATACCTATGGTCACACTCAGTTTTTATTAAAATTTCAAGTTCAAAGTGTTACAGTAAAAAGCTTTTTTTGTCCTTTGCTTTGATTAAACCTTACGTATTTTATTTTTCTTATGATTTTTGGAACTATCTTTCGTGTTTTAAAATTTAGCTTTTACCGAGGACACTAACGATAAGTAATTATTGTTAAAACAGTATGTTCAGTTTAAGAGTGATAATAGTAACAACAAAATGTTTTGCAAAAACACGATAGACTCTGACTTATTACAGCGCAGGAATTGCAATCAGTAATTATTAAATTGAACTTACTCGTTACTTTACATTAGTTGTCGTTATGTAATAAATACACGGTGTATAATATGCCTGCTGTTATTTTAAATAGAAGTATACATATTATATATACATATTTGTATATATGAACTTATTATGTGATTATTAGTATTCTGCAGAAGTAAGAAACCGGAATTAAAAATACTTAAGAAGTCGGTACCTAGTAGAAGTCAAAATTTTTCATATTTAACAATAGGTATTGGAATACATATTTCTTTTGATTTGATCCGATAATTGAATATTTATAAATACTGAAGTATTTGAATATTTAATTATTCAAAGAAGAACATTTGAATATCTGAAATCTTGATATAATATAATGTTCTGAACTGTCAGTATTAAAAAAATTGCTATAAAATATTTATAAATTTTCAATTAAACAACATACTTAAAATT